TTCTATTGCTTTTTGTTTTAAAAAAGGTTATAAAAAATGTCAATAATTATCGATACCGAACGATATGAAACATTATATCATTGATACATTTTTTAGCTATATCGCCCAGCTCTAGTGTAGAGTTACATTCAAGCCATTTTAAGGCATGAGAAAATTATTTTCACAAGAAAAAACATTTCAATATGTCATTTTGATGATCAAAGATAAGTTTTAAGGGATAAAATATTTGACCACAGGGGGACTTTAAGGCCTTAATTAGTGGAAGAGCAAATTAGGACCTTTTTAACACCTGCAGAAACCTTAATGAAAAACAGCTGTGCAAATATGTCTACCAGCTGACAGACACGTACATGCTGGAAGTCATGACGCACGTCTCATCGATTTCAATCACAGCTTCAGTGTTGATTTGATCCATTCTCACCTGCTGCCGAACACGTCTGCGCTCGTCTTCTGCTCTTTCTTTTTCACCACCACTTTCAGTGGGAACTTGGTCTTGACGTCCTGCAGAGCGGTCTGGCAGCGGGCAGACACGGCCTGGGGCCGCTCTAGATCCCTCTTCAGCCACGGCTCTACAGGCGGCAGGGGATCATCAGGATTCACACCGCGGTGATGCAAGCACTGAGGACGCGAGCCAAAGAAAGATCAATGAGACCCACTGCAGAGACACCGACCCGAGACAACACAGATTTCACAGCCAATGTCACACACCTGAATCACTGCACTACTGAAGGACAATAAGAGAGGAGTGTGAGGGTGAACAAACACTAGGGATCAGTATATGTAAAGTTTGGGGTCAACAAGCATGCATTAATTTAATCACAAGTGACATTTATGATGTTACTATAGATTCCTATAAAAAATTATTTCTATTCAAAGAATCAAGTTTCCACAAAAATATGAAGCAGCACGACATTGATAATAATCAGAAATGTTTCTTGAGCAGCAAATCAGCATATTAGAATGATTTCTGAAGATCATGTGACACTGAAGACTGGAGTAATGATGCTGAAAATACAGCTGCGCATCACAGAAATAAATTACATTTCAAAATACATCACAATAGAAAATTGTTTTTTGAAATTGTAATAATATTACACAAATTTTACTGTATTTTTATCAAATAAATGCAGCCCTTGGTGAGCAGAAGACTTTTTTAAAAAAAGCATTAAAAAACTGACCCAAAACCTTTATTATTCTAGGTTAAAATGAATACGTATACTATGGTTTATCAATTTACACAACTTGAAAATATTTTAATATTTGCTTATTGGTTAAGTGTTTAAGCATTTTAAGATGTATAAACTAATAGTATAGTTTAAATTAATTTTCACCTAATAAATTCTGCAAAGATATTATACATTTTTTTGTTTATATTAGCTATTGAATGATCGACTTATTCTAAAATTGTTACCAAAATATTTAGGTAAATATTTTTGTTTAGGCCTATGTATAGTTAGTTAAATGTATGCATATGATTGAAAATGCTTAAATATTATTCCGCGTTTATTAAGTGCAAAACCTTGATTTTTTAGCTAGAATTGTATTTTACTAATTACATTAAACATTTTGAATCTATGCATTGCTCTCTTTTGCAAGTCAGTTTGGATACAAGCATCTGCTAAATGCATAAATGCAAATGCATTTGACTGTTATGACAGTATCAAATAATGTCAGGCTGATAAAAACAGAGAAACGTCCACCACCCGGTCCTATCATGCCTGGAAAAGTCTCTGGAACTGAGGGTTTGGAAAGTGGTTGACTTTGAAGACGTCCACGCTCTCTCCATCCTCATCCTTTTCCACCAGCATCATGGAGTCGATCAGCGCGTCCACGGCTGACAGCTGAGACGCTGAACAGAGACATACACACAAACAACATCATATTCAAACAACAACATCAATATTCATCTCCTTTCGGCTGGATGTGCCTCAGAACGGCTGCAGGGTTTCTGCAAGTTCTATGAAGGTAAATTCAAGAATTCAAGACTTTTTTTCTCATTTAAGGAATAAACTGAAGGGAACACAATACGTCAATATGTTCTCTAAATGTAAATGTCCAAGGAGAAACACAATAAGTTGAATAAGCAGCACTTACAACTTCTAACCTATCTCCAAAAAATAGCTCATCTAGAATATGGAAATAACTTTCATGATCACTCTGCACAAAACCGATGCTCTTCCTCAGTATTTTTGTTTTGATTCCCAGTGCATGTCTAAACATTTATTAAATGAAAACGCAAAGACAACACATGATGAGAACTCTTTTTTTCTGAGAAATTGATCAAAAGGAAGTGAATTTGACAGATATTTTATTCTTGTTTTAACTATAAACTCACTTAATTTTGTTAAATTTCTCAAAAAACAAGACGTCATATCTTCATTTTGCATCTCAAGTAAATTAAAGGATGTTGATATATGTAACCCTAGACCACAAAACCAGTCATAAGGGTCAATTTTTCAAAACTGAATATGATTAATATGACGCAATATTTGGCCGAGATACAACTATTTGAAAATCTGGAATCTGAGGCTGCAAAAAAATCTAAATATTGAGAAAATCTTCTTTAAAGTCCTTAGCAATGCATATTGCTAATCAAAAATTACGTTTTTATATATTTATATTATCTTCATGGAACATGATCTTTACTTAATATCCTAATGATTTTTGGCATAAAAGAAAAATCGATCATTTTGTCCCATACAATGTATTGTTGGCTATTGCTACAAATATCCCCCAGCGACTTAACACTGCTTTTGTGCTCCAGAGTCACATATTTGTATTGGAAAACAAGACAAGAATACTGACAAAGATATAAAATTTTATGCAATGCATGCAACATTTAATACCATGACTGAACTATAGGTTAAGACTCGTCTGCTACGATTTAAGACCTTTTTAGCATATTAAGACTTGCAAGACTTTGCAGAAACCCTGAGAGGACCAAAGAAATAGCTGATACAGCATAATGCTGCGGAATTGCAATACAGGCAAGCTGTATACACATCTGATAGAAACTGGCTGCTGTATTGTGGGTCTTTTTTATCTGAGGGCCCACCTGAAGGCGTGAACTTCTTGTTGTTCTCCAACACTGGGAATGTGAACTGTCGGAGATCCTCCATAAACGGCAGCTGCACGTACAGCAGACACTGAGGACGAGAGACATGAGGAGTGAGTCTGGTGTGCAACATACTGAAGATAAATCATTTATAGTGTGCTTTCTGTTTGATATGAATCCACATACTTCATATTTCTCCTTTATGCAGGGAAAAGCGGCGCCCACTTGAGGGTTGCTGCGACGATCGTAAGCATAACGTACAATCGCTGCCATCTTTAGACTGTCGAGGGCACGAATCAGAGCGGACAGCGCCACTGCTGCATGCTGCATACATACAATAAAACTATTATCTTAATACAAAACATTTACACTAACATTTGAAAGTTTCAGGTCAGCTTTTTAAAAAAATTTATTAATACTTTAATTCAGTAAGGATGCCCAAAAGTGACAGTAAAGACTTTTATAATATTACAAAAGATTTCTAATTCAAATAAATGTTGTTCTTTTGAACCTTCTATTAAATCAAAGAATATTGAAAAATAAAAGTTTCCACAAAAATATTGGGCAGCACAACTGTTTTCAACATTGATAATAATCAGAAATGTTTCTTGAGCAGCAAATCAGTATATTAGAATGATTTCTGAAGATCATGTGAGACTGAAGACTGGAGTAATGATGCTGAAAATACAGCTTTAAATCGCAGGAATAAATTACATTTTAAAATATATTGACATATAAAGATCTTTTTTAAAATTGTAATAATATTTCACTATTTTTACAATATTTTTTTTATCAAATAAATGCAGCCTTGGAGAGCAAAAGAGACTTTTGTCAAAAACATAAAAAATCATAGCAACCACAAACTTTTGAACAATATTGTAATTTAAACACTAAATATACTATCAACATAATAATTTGCGTGACACATGGACATGAATAATAGAACGTCACATTTGATTAGTTACCGATAAATATCCTTAATTTCACACTATTTTACTTTTTCAAAACCCTAAAACTTTGTTAATTTCCAGGTTTAAGTGAAAACCATTTTAGATGTGTCCTCAGACGTTTTGTCACTACCGTATGTATTCAAACATCACAATTACTAACAATTATTACATTTACAGTAAATTCCAGTATAATTTCACAATGAACAGATAACTGTGTAAAACTCACCTCATCGTCTCTGGGTGCAAAAACTTTGACAACTTGGCTTCCCATAAACTGATGACGACGAATCTGCACCAAACCAACAAACAACTGTCACTGTACATTATTATGAGGGAAAAAAACAAGGCAAGACACAGCAGTACAGTACGAAATGCTTACGATTACATGCTAACTAAGATTATTTGATTTTGGAGTATGTGCTAAAATAATCGTCATACGGACTTGACCATTTGTTATCAGTAGCTTCCTATTTTCGAGTTTCTTGCACTCTTTTCAAGTTGTATAGAGATTTGTAAAAGATTGCACTCTCAAAGCTGAATATAACAAGAACTGCAGTCACTACAGACAGTACAGTTTGTAAAAATCCCTGATATTTCAGAGTTTCCATGACTTTATGATAAAATGCACTCGTTTGAAAAGTCTGCCATCTACTGGAGAGCATCTTACCAGCTCCTGTTTAGTGAAGCCAAGCACAGAAAAACACTTCCCATCAGACTTATATTTCATCTGGTCCTCGTCCACCTTAGAAAACGGCACAATGTCGCTTCCATAACGGAAACCTGTGAAATAGCAGTTAATGTTGCAGAATTCATCAATCATAAACAAAATCAATTTTAGCTGTAAAGCAGCTCTACAGAACACAACAGTGATTAGAGGTAAATTTAAGACTTTTTAAGACCAACTAAAGACGTTTTAAGGACTAAATGGAAGGCATCACAATACATCAATATGTTCTCTAAATGGAAACGTCTAGGGAGCAGAAAGCAACACTTTAAAGTTTGAAAATACAACTTCCAACCGTGTTTTCTGTGAAACTGATCAAAATGAAGTTAGTTTATGATTAAAAAGAACACGTATCTGCCAATGGGCTTGGAAAAAAATCAACTTAATCCAAAGGAAAATTGAGTTTTCATTCCCCATTGACATATGTGACCCTGGACCACAAAACCAGTCATAAGGGTCAATTTTTCGAAATTCAGATTTATGCATCATCTGAAAGCGGATTAAATAAGCTTTCCATTGATGTATGGTTTGTTAGGATAGGACATTTCCCGCTGCCAGACCGCTCTGCAGGACGTCAAGATCAAGTTCCCACTGAAAGTGGTGGTGAAAAAGAAAGAGCAGAAGACGAGCGCAGACGTGTTCGGCAGCAGGTGAGAATGGATCAAATCAACACTGAAGCTGTGATTGAAATCGATGAGACGTGCGTCATGACTTCCAGCATGTACGTGTCTGTCAGCTGGTAGACATATTTGCACAGCTGTTTTTCATTAAGGTTTCTGCAGGTGTTAAAAAGGTCCTAATTTGCTCTTCCACTAATTAAGGCCTTAAAAAGGGCTTAAAGTCCCCCTGTGGTCAAATATTTTATCCCTTAAAACTTATCTTTGATCATCAAAATGACATATTGAAATGTTTTTTCTTGTGAAAATAATTTTCTCATGCCTTAAAATGGCTTGAATGTAACTCTACACTAGAGCTGGGCGATATAGCTAAAAAATGTATCAATGATATAATGTTTCATATCGTTCGGTATCGATAATTATTGACATTTTTTATAACCTTTTTTAAAACAAAAAGCAATAGAATTTTTTTTTTTTTAATTTAACCACTTATTTATAATTAACACAATTTATTGAGACAAACAACAATATTTGGCTGAGATACAACTATTTGAAAATCTGGAATCTGAGGGTGCAAAAAAATCTAAATATTGAGAAAATCATCTTTAAAGTTGTCCAAATTAAGTTCTTAGCAATGCATATTACTAATCAAAAATTAACTTTTGATATATTTACGGTAGGAAATTGACAAAATATCTTCATGGAACATGATTTTTACATAACATCCTAATGATTTTTGCAATCATTTTGACCCATACAATGTATTTTTGGCTATTGCTACAAATATACCCCAGCGACTTAACACTGGTTCTGTGCTCCAGGGTCACATATTTGTTCTTGTTTTAAGCAAAAGTGACTTAATTTTGTTAAATTTCTCAGAAAAAGACTTCATTCTTCATTTTGCATCTAAAGTAAATGTAAGGATGTTTAGAAATTTGTATTAGAAAACAGGACTAAAACAGAGAAAGATTTTTAACTAATTCTTCATGCAACATTTAAAGGGGTCATATGATGCTTTTTTAAAGATCATTATTTTGTGTATTTGGTGTAACAGAATATGTTGACATGCTTTAATGTTCAAAAAACACATTATTTTTCAAATACTGTACATTATTGTAGGTCCTCTATGCCCCGCCCGCTTGTATTTATTGATAAAATTGTATACATGTGAAGTAAAATTAAAAATTGAGGATGCAGTGCATTACCAATGCATCGTGATATCGAATTGAACCGAACCGTGAGACCAGTGTAGGTTCACACCCCTATTCTTTACCAACTAGTAAAAAAAATATTAAAAATGATATCTCTGGTGTCTGAATCATTTTTGGTTTGACTGTATGTGCATATTAACAAACAAACTATGTTCATATTTAAAAGTCCAAACAGCGACAGTGCTCAGAAACGCTGTTTTGTACTCATTTATTGACAAGACTGCTGTGGTGCAGCCAATTGAATGCGCTGCTTTTTGGGAAACACTGTTACTGAATATTAATAGTTTTTTTAAACAGGTAAACAACTACGCTCACAAAACAACTGATGTGGCCAAAATCTGATATTGCTACGAATGACTGCAAAAATCCCAGTGAATGTGACATTTTCAATCTTTGTTCCGCACCTTGGATAGTGTCGTCCTTCTGTACTTCAGTTTCATTATCATCATCCAGGCAGTAAACCGTTTCTCTCTTGACGTCGTCTCTCTGGTGACTCTGAGCTTCTACTATGGCCCAGGACTTCTTCACCTTCTCCTCCGTCACCTTACGAGAACCAACACAATATTAGACCAACTCACAGCAGAAAACCAACCCGTTTTGATCATAATCTATTAGGATCTCACAGCTTTGTATCCGACGATGCGGATGGTCAGGGAGCTGCCGATGGTCAGCTGACAGGGCCAAGCCATCGGCCTCCTGTCGATGCGCTTGAAGATGGACAGCTTCTGCAGAGCATCACTGCAGCAAACATCAACACAGTCACTTCACGACCAATGTACTTCCATGAATTTATCAGGATTTCAATTTGTACTGTATATCAAGTAGCAGATTTAAGCATTAATAGATCTAAGCAATTATCATCAGAGTACAAATTCAACTCAAAAAAAGATATGCAACACTGAAGACTGGAGTAATGATGCTGAAAAGACAGCTTTGCATCACAGGAATAAATGACATTTTACAAAATATTCACATAGAAAACAGTATATTATATATATATATATACTGATATATATAAAAAACATTTACTTATATATACACACATTATTTATACTATGTATTTTTATTTAAATAAATAACGTTTATTTAATTAAAAATAATTTATTTATATAATTATAAAATAGATTTTATTATATATATATACACACATTTATACACTAAATAATAAAATATATTTTGTAATGTAGATCAGTGCCTGTGGACCGTGATGGCATTTGATTTGGACTGCCATTTCACAAGATGAAGGGGGGAAAAAAAACATGCAACTAGGGGTGTGCGATATACAGTGCAATTAAGATATTCATACCCTTAATTTTTTTCACATTTTGTTATGTTGCTGCCTTATGTTAAACTGCTTTAAATTACTTTTTTTCCCACATCAATCTACACTCCATACACCACAATGGTAAAGCAAAAAACAGGTTTTTAACATCTTTGCAAATTTATTAAAAATAAAAAACTTAAATGATTTTATTGCATAGGTATTCATACCCTTATTTGGAACAGTTGAAATTTAGCTTAGGAACATTCATATTGCTTGTAGATATTACTACACTTTGAGTAAAGTTAACCTGTGGCAAATTCAATTGAATGGGTATAATTTGGACAGGCACACACGTCTTAATAAAAGGTCTAACAGCTGATAATGCATATCAGAGCAAAAACCAAGCCCTGAGGTCAAAAGAACTGCCTGTAGAGCTCAGAAACAGGTTTGTGTCAAGCCACACATCTGTGGAAGTGTTCAGAAAAAAATTCTGCTGCATTGAAGGTTCACAGAAGCATGTGGTCTCTGTTACCCTTAATGGAAGACGTTTGGAACAACCAGGACTCTTCCTAGAGCTGGCCACCTGGCCAAACTGAGCAACTGATGGAGAATGGCTTTGGTTAGAGTGGCAAACAAAAAGCTGATGGTCACTCTAGTTGAGCTCCATGATCATATGTGGAGATAGGAGAAATCTACAGAAGGACAAACATCACTGCAACACTCCACCGATCTGGGCTTTATGCCGGTGTGGCCAGACTCAATCTTCTCCTCAGTGAAGACACATGAAAACACACTTGGAATTTGCAAAAAAAAGCACCTAAAGGACCCTCACACTGTGAGAAACAAGATTCTCTGGTCTTTGATGAACCTCAATTCCATGCATCATGTTTGAAGGAAACCAGCTCTGCTCATCACCTGCAGAGTACCATCCCAAAAGTAAAGTGCTGGTAGCAGCCTCATGCTGTGGGGCTGTTTTTCAGCGGCAGGGACTGAAGGCCTCGTCAGAGTAGAAGAAAAGCTCAATGCACCAAAATATTGAGATAGCCTTAATGAAAACCTACTACAGAGCATTCAGAACCTCAGACTGGGCAGAAGGTTCACCTTCCAACAGGACAACGACCCTAAGCACACAGCAAGAGTGACTTATAGACAACTCTGTGAATGTCCTTGAGTGGCCCAGCCAGAGCATGAGCTTGAACCCAATCAAATATTTCTGGAGAAACCTGAAAATGTGCATCTGCCCTCATCCAACCTGACAGAGCTTGAGAGGTGAAGAGGTGAGGAGAAGAATGACAGATAATTGCCAAATGCTGATGTGCAAAGCTTGTCACATCAAACAAAAAAAGACTTGAGAATGTAAAGGTGCTTTAGCTAAATATTTAGTTGCAATGTACAATGTACTTATTTAAGTTCTTTTATTTTTAATCAATTTAAGAAGTTGTGACAGTTCTGTTTTTGCTTTGTCATTATAGTGTATGGAGTGTAGTTTGATGTGGGAAAAAAAGTAATTTACAGCAGTTTAACATAAGGCAAATACATAACAAAACGTGAAAAAAATTAAGGGGTATGAATACTTTCGCAAGGCACTGTATATCTTAATTGTTGTTTTAACGATGTTCGATTTGACATTATCGAGTATTTTGCAAAATACATTCAAAACACCTACAGAGTGCAGTGCATGCATTACGTGAAGTCTAGTCTAGTGCGTGCACATTTAGAGTACGTTCTTTCACTGAATGATTCAGTCTATTAAAATACATTTAGAATGATCACAAATTCAAGACATGGGGACAGAAAATGTATATATTTATACCACTTCATTAATCAATTTCACATGAAGAGTGCCGTTTTTCTCCAAAAATGACCAAATGAAATGTGATATTGATTTTTTACAACAGTTCAATAAACAAGAAGTTAATTAAGAGACTTACATTTTAGACACCATATTGGCTGTTTTGTGCTATTTCGACAACAAAAATCATTTCAAACACAGCCACAATGCTGTTTTGTGTCTCTGAGCAACATGACGGTTAAAAACATCTAAATGCCTCTTCAGACGCAGCTTCTGTGTTTCCTCTGCATTGCAAATATGAATTTTATTGATACTGATTTCATTTGCTTGGTAACAGCCCAGATGTCTTACTATTCTAATTCACTAATTAAATGTAAGAAATTGACTCAAAAGATGATGCACACTTTTGGAAAAAATGGCTTTTTAAAGTTTAAAATGCCCATAAAAGGTAAAAAATCTATTTAAACTTATTGGAAAAGATTAATTTCTATCAGTGTGAACTGACCACCACACAGAATATGAAGAATATAAAAAAAAAATTAGAAGTCATAACACACTGAGCAAATTATCGTCTAATTATCGTTATCGATAAAATCCTAGAAAATATCGAGATAACTATTTTTTCGTCAATATCGCACACCCCTACAACTGAAGAATATCTTAATTTCAAATTGATATATATATTTTTAATTTTTGTTTTATTTTTGCACTGAAATGCAAAAACAAACAAACAATATAAGTGAATTTGATTAAAAATAATCAATCATTTACATTTTTCAAAAAATTATTATTATTATTATTATACAAATTATTTAAAAAATATGTAATACATTTTATAATAATATATTTGGATGTAATACAACATTTACTTTTAGCCCACGGCCCTCAGTCAAGTTTGATTCTTGGCTCTTCGTGTTAAAAATTATGGGCAGCTCTGACACAGATAAAGAAATGTGCACTAACTATATTTTCCTCGTATTGATATGAATTTATACCTAAATGTGTAGACCTCCTCCAGGCTGTCCTCCTCCTCCAGGCTGGTCATGATGTTTTTGACCATCTCCAGACCTTGTGTCTGCTGTCTGCTCAAGCCTTTTCCAGGACGGGCAGGAGCCGCTGAGGGTCCCGGTCCATCCCCTCCACCATCCGCTCTGTCCTCACCATCCACAGGGAACGGCAAACTGAACGGATCAAACAAAACACGGATCAGTGCAAAGTTTGAGGTGGGAAAAACAACCAGAAATTTGACTATAAGCATCAAATCTGGGTCACTCAAAAAGGAAAAGATCATCTAACTGATGCACACTTCATGTCTAACACTTGTGACAATGTGACTCTGGACCACAAAACCAGTCATAAGGGTCAATTTTTCGAAATTGTTAGGATAGGACAATATTTGGACAAAGATGCAACTATTAGAAAATCTGGAATCTGAGGGTGCAAAAAAAATCTAAATATTGAGAAAATCATCTTTAAAGTTGTTCAAATTAAGTTCTTAGCAATGCATATTACTAATCAAAAATTAAGTTTTGATATATTTACGGTAAGAAATTTACAAAATATCTTCATGGAACATGATCTTTACTTAATATCCTAATGATTTTTGGCATAAAAGAAAATTCTATAATTTTGACCCATACAATGTATTTTTGGCTATTGCTACAAATAAACCCCAGCGACTTATGACTGGTTTTGTGCTCCAGGGTCACATATATAAAAATACATTAAACCATTACTTTTTTTTCAAACAAAAAATCTAGTCCTTTGGCCTTAGACTAAAAAAATGTGTTATTGTTGAGCCCTGTTATTATTATCAGTGTATGTTTCTTACAAGAACTGCAGGGTGATACCAGCTTTCTTCAAGCTGTCAATGATAACGTCCAGCTGGTCTGCCGAGGTCTGGACGTTCAGATCCGTCAGCAGGACAATATTCAGACGCTCAAACTTCTTCCCCCTAAAAAAATAAAAACAATAAAGAGTGTGACAGCAGCATAGAAACTTCTCAACTGCATTTAAATAAACAGAAAAATGTGTGACAAGAGATCTCACATGGTTTCCTTCTGCAAAAGGTCCATGCAAACGACCAGAGCATCAAGCCCTGATTAATCAGTCAAGGACTTTACATAGTTGCATTAACATGTAACAAACAAAAAATAACACTATTAAATTAGATGAGAGATTCACAAACTTTTTTCTCAGCTAAACCCCTTTGACGTAAAATATTTACTGGAACTCCTCTTGAAATTTTGAGGGAATATTTCAATAATTTAACAACACATTCACATGTTCACAGTTCACTGATGTGGGTCACGTGGCATGCAAGTAAACAAACTAAATATTTCTTATAATGTTTGTTTGTTTATTTCCTTCTTAACGCCATTCCAAATATTTCTTATAAAATAAATATTTTATTTTAATAGTTTTTATTTTAATGTTATATTATATATTTCATGAATTGTACTAACACATAAAGGAATAGTTCAGCCAAAACTGAAAATTTGATGAAAATATAATCCAAGATGTAGATGAGTTTGTTTCTTCATCAGATTTGGAGAAATGTAGCATTGCATCACTTGCTCACCAATGAATCCTCCTGCAGTGAATGGGTGCCGTCAGAATGAGAGTCCAAACAGCTGATAAAAACATCACAATAATCCACACCACTCCAGTCCATCAGTTAACATCTTGTGGAGCCAAAAGCTGTGTGTTTGTAAGAAACAAATCCATCAACAAGACATTTTAACTTTAAATGGATAGTTCACCCAAAAATGAAAATTATGTAATTAATTACTCACCCTCATGTTGTTCGAAACCCGTAAGACCTTCGTTCATCTTCGGAACAAAATTTAAGATATTTCTGATGAAATCTGAGGGCGCTCTGACCCTCCCATAGACGGCAAGGTAACTACCACGTTCAAGGTCCAGAAAAGTACCAAGATGATCGGCAAAGTAGTCCGTGTGATATCTGTGGTTCAACTGTAAAGTTACGAAGCTACGAGAATACTTTTTTGCGCAAAGAAAACAAAAATAACGACTTTATTCCACATTTTCGTCTCTACTGCGTCACTTGTGGACGCGCGTTCACGACAGTACCATGACACGAGCGTGTGGCGGCGCTGTCCCAGATCTGGAATGATGACGTCATCCCGCCGGATCTGGGACAGAGCCGCCACACGCTTGCGTCATGATACTGTCGCGAACAGTGTTGGGCAAGTTACTCTGAAAATGTAATCAAATTAATGATTACTCCTTTTAAAAGTAATCACGTTACTGTTCTGATTACTTTATTTCAAAAGTAATTAGTAATTAGTTACATTACTAGTTACGTTACTTTTTTCACCATGAAATTTATGAAATCCCAGCATACACTCTCCCGATAAATATTTGTTATTAAAGCATCAACATTCACAGAAAACTGTTATTTTTAACTAAAGCAAGCGGCTGCTGCGTGCATGGTTTGGCATGGCAGAATGCCAGCAAAGAGTGCGACATTTATAATCTCAAAAAGACATCTCAGTTCATCGCAACCTCACAAATCTCTGTTATAACACAATAAATATATGCATAATGAATCTTTCATAATGTCTACAATTCGTGTGTTATAATGAGAGGATTTGTGAACACGCACATTCCAGCACTGCTTTGCTCAACGCTGCAAACACGTGTTATAGCCTAAATAGAAACTCTGCATACGCTTGCACCTGTTAATCGTTTATATTTTATATTAATTCATGTAGCTTTTGTGCAATAGATGAATAAAAGTTTATTTGTTTTAAGTCAAGTCACCTTTATTTATATAGCGCTTTTAACAATACAGATTGTGTCAAAACAACTGTACGGCATTAATTAGGAAAATATTTTAGATATTTTATGTTTAGATATTTCTATTTTGCGGGAGTCCCGTGAATCATTTTATTCTCCCGCATCCCGCACACACAAGAGTCTTTGCACTCACCTATCAAGTCTTGTCCCGCGCCGCTCACTGTTGCGTAAAAGTTATCAAATTACAGTAACGCGCTACTAAGTAATGCATTACTGCCCAACACTGGTCGTGAACGCGCGTCCACAAGTCACGCAGTAGAGACGAAAATGTGGAATAAAGTCGTTATTTTTGTTTTCTTTGCGCAAAAAAGTATTCTCGTAGCTTCGTAACTTTACAGTTGAACCACAGATATCACACGGACTACTTTGCCGATCATCTTGGTACTTTTCTGGACCTTGAACGTGGTAGTTACCTTGCTGTCTTTGCTCAACGCTGCAAACACGTGTTATAGCCTAAATAGAAACTCTGCATACGCTTGCACCTGTTAATCGTTTATATTTTATATTAATTCATGTAGCTTTTGTGCAATAGATGAATAAAAGTTTATTTGTTTTAAGTCAAGTCACCTTTATTTATATAGCGCTTTTAACAATACAGATTGTGTCAAAACAACTGTACGGCATTAATTAGGAAAATATTTTAGATATTTTATGTTTAGATATTTCTATTTTGCGGGAGTCCCATGAATCATTTTATTCTCCCGCATCCCGCACACACAAGAGTCTTTGCACTCACCTATCAAGTCTTGTCCCGCGCCACTCACTGTTGCGTAAAAGTTATCAAATTACAGTAACGCGCTACTAAGTAATGCATTACTGCCCAACACTGGTCGTGAACGCGCAATCTGATGAAGAAACAAACTCATCTACATCTTGGATGACCTGAGGGTGAGAAAACGTTTAGCACAATATCATTTTTGGGTAACTATTCCTTTAACCGATCACCTCATGAGATCAACGTGTGTTGTTGTCTGTAACAGGAAGGATACAGTCCGCTTGCTGACCACCAGGTTGCAGTTCGCTCTCAATCTCCTCGAGCAGCTCAAAATCAGGCATCATGAGGTGACGGTGAACCGTGATGTTCTCATACTGGCCGTCTTTGGCCAAGCCGTTCTTCGTGCCATCTGTACCAAACAGCACCAGACCCACCTCATCTTTATTCTCAGCAAACACCTGAAACATAGAGGACGTCAATCAAGCTCTTTCTGCAGTAGCAAACAGATATCATCAATTAAAGGGATAGTTCACCCAAAAATTAAAATGTGATGTTTATCTGCTTACCCCCAGGGCATCCAAGATGTAGGTGACTTTGTTTCTTCAGTAGAACACATATGATGATTTTGAACTTTAACCGTTGCAAGCGCCGGAAGTGATCTCTCGCACGTATACGTTACTCATTGGTTACACAGTGCACAGTCATTGTAGGTACGACGGCTAATCAAAATGGTACTTACTTGCGCTTATCTGGATTGTTCAAACCGACTTAAAACTAAAAGATTACGTTCTCTCGCGCGAACTCATTCGGGAGTGGTGACTTTCCACGTATTCCTAACTTCTGAGCCTGCTCGCCTGAAGTTATGCTTGATTGCTCTTCGGCTGGATATCAACACCCATTAACGTAAACTACGCCAGAGCGCTTACACACCTCACGCACCGGATGCCGTGTGCGCGCACAAAGTCAGTTGGACATAGTGGTGAATCAGAGGTAAAAAATTATATAAATACTGTTCGGTTTCTGGCACAAACCGATCGTTTCGTGTCTTAGGACATCAATGTGTCGTCACGAGCCGCAGCGTTTAATTTGGATTTGTCTGTGCATGTTTTTTTTACTCTCATAGATTTTGTTACCATTGCCATGCTTATACGACTGACAGACTGCAACGGCTGGAGTTAAAAATCATCAAATGTGTTCTACTGAAGAAACAAAGTCACCTACATCTTGGATGCCCTGGGTGTAAGCAGATAAACATCACATTTTCATTTTTGGGTGAACTATCCCTTTAATTGATGATATCTGTTTGCTACTGCAGAAAGAGCTTGATTGACGTCCTCTATGTTTCAGGTGTTTGCTGAGAATAAAGATGAGGTGGGTCTGGTGCTGTTTGGTACAGATGGCACGAAGAACGGCTTGGCCAAAGACGGCCAGTATGAGAACATCACGGTTCACCGTCACCTCATGATGCCTGATTTTGAGCTGCTCGAGGAGATTGAGAGCGAACTGCAACCTGGTGGTCAGCAAGCGGACTGTATCCTTCCTGTTACAGACAACAACACACGTTGATCTCATGAGGTGATCGGTTAAAGGAATAGTTACCCAAAAATGATATTGTGCTAAACGTTTTCTCACCCTCAGGTCATCCAAGATGTAGATGAGTTTGTTTCTTCATCAGATTTGGAGAAATGCAGCATTGCTTCAGTGTCTCAGCAATGGATGCTCTGCAGTGAATGGGTGCCGTCAGAATGAGAGTCCAAACAGCTGATAAAAACATCACAATAATCCACAAGTAATCCACAGCACTCCAGTCCATCAGTTAATGTCTTGTGAAGCTGTGTGTTTTTGAGAAACAAATCCATCATTACGA